CGGGGCGGCGGGGGCGCCTGGAAGCGCGGGGGGGGGGTCTGGCGCCTGGGCCGGGGTATACGAGAGGGCCGTACCTGTCTAGTACGTTCTTCACTGTTGACGGGGCCATGTCCCATTGGTGGATCAGGCATTCCTTGCAGTACCAGCCTGCGTGCCAGCGCTTGGCCAGGAACATCTCCCTCATTAGCTGGACGGGCGGCAGCCCGTGCACCAGGGTTAGGCCTGCGCGGAGACCTTCAGGGACGGCTGTCGAGTATGCCTTTTGTGCCCCTCTGTGCCGAGCGGGCAGCCGTCGCACCGCCATGTGCCGAAGTCGGCCATGTGGAAGTTGGAGATCAGGCGGTCGTCGTTCGCGTTGCTGGCTCGTAGAGTGGCACCCACGTGGAGCGGTATCAACTCGCCGTCCAGCGCGGCCAGGAGCTGCTCCAGGGACGTGAAGGCCGTGGGGGCGTGGGTCGGGCAGAGTCCTGGCAGGGCGCGCGTCGTGCACGCCGGCATGTCGTCGGGGCGTCCGTTGATCCAGTCCTTGAAGCTCACGTCCTCCATGGCCTTCGTGGTCCAACAGCACATGCACCGCCGCGTGAGGTCCTTTCCGTGGTCGTATTCCGTCAGCCTGTTGACCGTGATGGTCTGGCGGATCCGATTGCTTTCGTACGCGCCTTTGTCGCGCCTGAAGGGGCCGCGGAGGCAGCCCTGGCAGAAGAGATCTGCCTTGTTCTGTTCCTTCGTCCCACCTGGTGTCGCGCTCGTCTGTCCAAGGAGGCCGTTGCGCCACCCCTGGGCGGGGCCCGGGTGGAGCAGGCGCGCCCAGGTGCAGGTGCGTAAATGAATGCCCCCCGCCTATCCAAGCGACGCTGCTCGCCTGCTTTGCGGGGTCGCCCGCGAGGCCGATGTCGGGCCCGATCGCGTCGACGTAGAGTGCGCATGCCGCGCGCCCGTGGTCCGCCAGGGCCGAGAGGTCGGCGGTAGACACCGCACCCTCGATGACTGCAAGGGTTGCCTGTAGCGGGAACCTCCCGGCCTCTAGGTCCTTCCAGGTTGTGGGGCAGCCCGCCTCCTTGGCCTTGGGTGATGGTGGGCGGGACACCGCAGTAATCAGGAGCTCAAGCGGCGCGTGCAGCTCCCTGAAATGCCGATCCTGTAGTCCGAGCAGTGTGCCTTCCTGGTCCCGCGCAACCTTGCCACGCGGGCGGTAGGGCTCGCGCAACCTTGCCACGAATGGCCTCGATCACGTCGCCGATGCCCTCGGCGTCCCCGTATGGGCACAGGCAGGCACGCGGTTCGCGCTGCCAGGGTAGGGGCAGGGCGAGCAGGATCCTGGCCTGGATGGCGCCCAGGGTCGCACCGGTGCTGTCCAAGAGGCGGTTCAGGACCGTGGAGGGGCGCCCTTTTGTGTCCATATCGCAGAAGGCCTGGAACACCTCGGGCGTGGGTGGTTCCTTGTGCTTCTGGCAATTGCAGGTGGACGGCTGCCAGCATCTGGGGCGACGCCTGGGGGCGTCGGTGGGGATACAGGCCTCCTTGATGTGCCTCACTGCGGGCATGTTCGGTCGGTGCCTTATTGGTGGCATCAGGTATGGGTCGACGGCCTGGGAGTCGTCGTCGTGTGAGACTCCAAGCCCGGTGGCCCACATGATGGTCGCAAAGACTGCCGTGTAGACCAGGTTGCCGGCATCCAGTCCCACCAGCGTGGGGCAGACAAAGAGGCACCCGTTCATGTTCCATCTTTTTCTGTCCTGCATGATGGGGCCCGCGGGTTGATCAGCGACGCCGTGCTGGTGCGGGCGCGGCCCGAGGCACCAAAGCATGTAGGGTCCGAACGCTGCGCAGCACAGGAGACGCACCTGTAGCCCGGAGTGGTCGGCCGGGAGTGGTAGGTCGGCTCTGGCCGAGAAGCTTGTCTGTTGAGCTTGACGGGCCTTGATCACCTCCTTCTCCTGCCGGCTGCGGTCGGCGTCCTCTTCCAGCCTGGTCTTCTCTTCTGGGGTGGCCGTGTCGGGGATGTCGTCCTTGAAGACGCGCGGGTCCGCGATGGTCTGGCGCAGAGACCCGTCCAGGTTGTGATGGAACTCAAAGGTGAGGCTCTCCTTTTGGGCCCAGGTGCTTAGGTGGTGGAGGGCGGCGTCGGTGGCTGTGCGGAACATCCTCGCGTCTGCTGTCATGATGGGATTGCACTGTGGGCGGGTCAGGCCCACGTTGATGCGGTGCCGGTCGTCCACGTGGCCCCAATTATGCATGGAGTTGGCCCGGGTGGTCATAAGTACAGCAACGGACGCTTCCTGTTCCTGTGCGGAGCCGATGGTCGTGACGCGGATGGTCTCGTTATCCAGGAGCTGAGGGAACAGGTCCATGAGTCCGGCGAAGCGCTCGTGCAGGCCGTTTGCTGTCGTGGCGTGGTTGATCCTGGTCCCTCCTGTGAGGTGCCCTTTGCCAGTTTGAGGGGAACTGTAGCTACCCCGTCCCTGGTGCCGCTGGGAGCTGGCCGCCCCGCCACTCGCCTCCGATCCGTTTGCGTTCGCTGCCCGCGAGCAGCGTTTGATGTCCGTCGGGGAGCAGGGGTTGCCTGCCAGTACGGGAGTCAGCTGTAGCTTGTGCGGCGACAGAACCAGGATTGTGCCCTTGTTGGTCGTTGCCCATGGCACAAGGTACCAGTACCACCGCTGTGCGGGCTTCGTGGATGTTGGCGTAGCCGTCCTGGCGCATGGACTGGATCTCTTTTGAGGGGGCGTGTGCAAGTAGGAACGGGTGCTGGTCGCAGACTGCGGTGCCGTTCCCTTTCGGTACCGTCGGGCAGGCAGCTTTACTCCTGAAGCCCGCCCTCCCTACACATAAGTAACACCCGAGCCTGAGCATGTTCAGCGGTCGTCTTTGGATGGGCAGCTACTGGGAACCAAAGACGGCCCCAGATGCGCGACGTTTGGGCGAGGTGCGCCACGCGTGCCAGGGGCGCCACGCGCGCCAGGCACCCCTGGGGCCTGAGCGTGCCAGGCACGCCTGGCGCGCCAGATGCGCCACGTGCTCCGAGTGCGCCAGGTGTGCCGCACACTCCAGCCGCGCCAGGTGCGCCGCGTTCGGGGCATGTGCAAAGAGCGTCAGGTACGCCTGCGCACGTGACAGCACACATCGGGAAACACGTCGGCCCCCGCCATCCTTGTCGAAAGCTGATGCCCATCATTGTGTCTGCTGGGCCTGCGCACAGCAGGCCACGCGCCACCACCCCCGCCGTCCCTGGTAAAAAGCACTTGACGCTGATCGCGGGATTGCCGCGCATGATCCAGATCTAGCCGCGAGGTGCATGTTGTACGGTTTTTTGTCAGGATGGTAGCCCTGTGCACAGCAGGGAATATGCTGACACCCCCGCCATCCAGGCCAAAAACAATACGAAGTGTTCGCGGGCCTCACGAACATAACTCAAGATGTTTTGCCCCAAAGTGTATTTTGCATTGGTTTTTGACAGGGGTGATGTGGGGGGCCGCATCGGGTTGGCCGCGCATGCTCCAAATGTGGAGGCAGAGTGCGTTTTTTTGTTTTGTTTGTTTTTTGACAGGCATGGTGGGGGCGGGTGGGCATGGTGTCGGCTTGGTTGGCCCCCCGTCGCCTGGGGGAGGGGGTGGAACAGAACGGGCTCTCTAAACCACCGCCCAGAGGGCTGGTGGGATTGTGTGGTGCAACACATATCTGTGTGGTGCAATCTCTGTGGTGTTTTCTACGTTGTGCAATCTAGGCGGCGACGGGACGGGCGGTGACGAGGCGGCGACGGTTCGGCGACGGTGGCAGTATAGCCCGCAGGCCGACCTTCAGGCCCAGGCGACGGTTGGCGACGAGTTGCGGCGACGGGGCGGCGGCGGTGGCCATTTATCCGCCATACCGACCTTCCGGCCCAGGCAAACAATGTGTGTTCGGCCTGCAGGGGCCCTCGCTCGGGCCCAGCACATTCAAACAGCGTCTCTGCCTGGGAAGCTGCTGGCCCTTGGGAAAGGCCAGGGACTTGCAGGGGCCTTGTGCTGATCAAGATCAAGACATCGGATGTCTGGGCACCCAGCCCAAGGTGCTCCCAGCTTTTCGCTCCACCGGTAGCCTCGTGAGGGGATGTCTGGAGGCTACAGAACCGCGGGTCCAATGCTCGACCGACCTCTGCCGCACGGACCTCCGAAAGCGCACGTTTTTCTTCCAATGAGATGCCCTGGTGGGGGCCGTCACGCAGCGGCGCTCTGGGCGATAATTCATAAGTTGGCTCCTGGCCCTGCTCGTGGGCGACGCCGTCGCCATTCAGATGCTGTGATCGCCCTCTCCCAAGAACTCCCGACTGCAGGGAACCTTGTCTGAATCTTTCCGTTTTGAGTTGTCTTACATTGAGGTGTCTTACATTGACGTGTTCCTGTATTTCCATATTCCAATCTGCTTTAGGCGCCTTCTCATTTCGATGGTCAAACGGGTGTTCCTTTCGATTCGTTTTCAGGGGGCGGCCAGAACCCACCCTCCTTCCAACGCCTTCCTGTTTCTCGGCAGTGGCCAGGAGAGGGGCAATGACTAATTTGGGGGTGGTTATTACGGCCAGTGTCATGTTTCAACCATTCTCTTCCAGGCGTACGTTCAGGGGCAACGTTAAGGGGGGATAGCCTAAGGGGGGATGGATCGACCCCCAATCGCCCATTCATCGCCGATGGGGGCCCGATAGCCCACCCGGCCCAGGAACGTGCGGACTTGCCATCCGGGGCCTATCGCTGATCCATCGGCGACGTATCGCCGAGTTAAGCTCGATGCGCCTCCCTTGAGCCAGTGGTTTTCGGGTCATAGCTCGGCTCTCCCGCGGCCGTTCCGGACCCCGGGCACGCCTTCGGCGAGGCGCAGTTGGCGGAAGGCACCAGGAGGCCGGAAAGCCGCCGAGAATTGACGAACACGTCCCGAACGCTCGAACGTCGGTCGATTCCAGGGCGGTGTCCCTCCTCCACGACCCCGTAATGTCGCCCCTCACATGTTGCCGGGCTCCGCCTGCACAGGCCGCCCGGCCCGACGCCGAGGCGGAGGCCGCCGGCGCCGCGAGGGGGGGCGCGCACGCACTGAAGGCTCACGTCAGCGGCCTTCCGTTCGCCGACGACGAGGGTTCGCTGAGAGGTTCCGGGCGATCATGGAATGCTACACAAGTCAAGGGGCGGAGGACAAGATGCCGATCCCGACGCCGTTGCTCTTCCTAGAGAGCCCTTGTCGCCACGGCTGGATTGTCCTCGATATTCTGGTCAGAGTGTTCACCGTGTGAGGCTCTTGGCGATCATCGACTAACAGAAACTCCGCGGCACCGCGATGGGTCATCATTCGCTAACGGGTACTCTGGGAACTCGCTGAAAGATGCCACGTTGGGGCATGGTTCGTGCACTGCAGGGTTGCTTGCATCTGGAAGGGCGGGGTTCGCCAGGTCGCTGGCCAAAGCACCCGCTAGTGAAGTCCCCGTCGGGAGGGCGCTGAAAAATCAAGGTAGAACAACAAGCACATCCCATCTAGTTGGCGATTGCTACGCGGTCCTTGGCGTATGCTGATCTGTCCTGCCCTTGGTGCGATTACTGAATGGCTTCCCTTTAGGGGTGTTTATTCTGAGAGTGTGTCTCTTTTGCCTTCTAAGACTTTAAGATGTGGCATGTGCATGCATTTTCGCGGATTTCTTGGGTCTGCGCTGGGACCTCCCTGACCCGCTCAGCGCGCCAAGGGAGGGAGGGTTCAGCGCCGATCCAAGAAATCCGTACGGGCCGAACTGCGATCGAAGTGGGGACGTGAAGAAGGCGGACGAATGCAGACAACTTTTCCACTGGACAGGACTCGTTGTCGGTGCTGCCGCGGACGCTTGCCTCACAGCGACCGCTGTTGGGGACGTCCGCCTCGAGAAAGGGATCAGGATGAACCCAGGGAGGGGTCTGGGGACGACTTGAGCAGATTTGGGCCGGGCAGGGCAGCCGCCGTGGTCTGAATTGGGTCGGGATGAACCCTGGTCGGGCTCTGGTGACCGTTGCGAGTGGATTTGGGCCGGTCGGGAGAGCCGCCGCAGGAGGAGGGAAGAGGGAGTGGGAAGTCGAGCATCGGGCGTTCACAGCCAATGCGCCTGCCAGGCAGGGCAGGAGGAGGAGGAGGAGGAGGAAGAGGTGGGGAGATAACACACAAAAAAACAACACATGCATTGCATTCACAGTACGGTACCCTCCAGCCAGGGCGCTCGAGCAGCTAGGAAGCGGCTCGCATCTACTCTTCGTTTGGAATCTCTTCAGGTACCAAACAACTCTCAGAATTCAAGTTTCACAGTCCTGCGCGTCGCGTACGTGTTCCATGATAGTGGTTTCTGCGGTGAGATATGCCGATAGGATATTGTACAAGCGCGTGGTCCATGCATTATTCGGTTTCCCCCCTCCGCTTAAGCAAGGACGTGGCGGAGAGGACGCTGTCATTTTGGAACGTGAGTTTTCGGACGAAGTCGCCGTTGGGGGCTCTTCCAAATTTCCCAAACCAAAGAAGTTGATCTTTCAGTAATTTGCATGTGTAGGGTAATTGACCAGACTTGCCGAGCACTGTCTTGATGGTGATGCGAAGCACGAGCGCCGCTGGAATATTCAATATCATTTGGAGACACCTGGCTTGGAAACCTTTCCATCGCCTGCGTTCCAATTTCACAACCACTCTGCATCAGCTAGAATTTGACCCACTGGAGATCCATCCCGACCCAACCTCCAGCTAGGGAAATTGCACCAAGTAGTTTTGTAGGTGTTCTTGCGAGCGCCAAAGAAAAAACGTGCCGCTTCTATACAGCAACACCGACATATATCCCACACCCAGTCTCTTCCTTGCCCCCCCCCCCCCGAACGCAGCAGCCAGAGTTTCGAAGGCCATTGTGAGAGCGTGCTGTTCCGTGGGATCGTCGTGCCACCCTGTTGGCGCCCTGACGTTTGGAGCCTGTCGGCGGCCCTCCTGTTTGGGGACGCTCGGCGAAAGCGCGCACTTGCCCCCTCCCCCTCTCCTCCTTCTGCCTGTCTCCCTCCCCCCGCGCCTTCGAATTGGTGTCGCATGGGCATAGCGTGTGGCCCCCTTTGCGCTCGCTGATGGCCGACCCTGGATACAACATGCTCTAGGCTCGCCACTCTTGCCAGCCGTCGCGGTTGCCGCACGCGCTGCCTGGAGAGCGCATGCCTGCTCTCTCCCGTTTAGGTTGCAATCATTTCGTTGGCGAGTGTTTACATCCAGCAGGTTTCGCCCTTCTGTCGTCGCCCCGTGCCCCGTTCTTCCTCTTCTCCTTCCCGCCCGTGTCTCCAACGTTTGCTTTCGCGAGGGCATCCGTGCGGGCGTCGTCCAATCAGACCGGCCTACGCACGAGCGAGTTTGCTTTCTGAGTTCGATGTAGTCCTCCTCTTCCTTGTCTTCCCACCCGGCCCGAGCCCGGGGCTACTGACAGTTTTCGCTCTCAGTGCGCAGCGTACGGCTGCGACCGTTTAGATTGCCGCGCTTAGGTACTGCAGCCCAGTGTCAACCTTCCATCTCCCTCTTTGGCCTGTGGCTTTTTGCTTCTGCCCCTCTCCCTGGTTTCAAGCAGCGTTGAGCGCGGCGGACGCTTTTGGCGAGCACGCTGCCCACTCACTGTCCGTCTCGTCCTCGTCCTCCTTCCTCGCTCCTGCCGTGTCTCACGGTTTTGATGGCAATGCGAGTTAGTTCGCAGTGCCAGCTGGTGTGTGTGTGTGTGCTACGGGAGGTCTGTCGAAGGTTGCGTTATTTGCGGCGGAGTATCTATATATCTATCTATATATATATATATCCCACATCCATCTTGGATTTTGCTCACGGCCCCAGGTTCTCCACTGCATCGTTCAAAACCACCGTCATCACTATGATGAACACGCAAGGTGGTTGAGGACATCCTTGTGGAATGCCGCAGCTGTCGGGATGTCCAAGTACCGTCAGCTACGTGGACGCGACGGTGGGCGTAGATTTTGCGGATGAGCGCACGTACTCTATCTGGAACCCCCAATATCCGCAATGCGAGCAACATTGCGTACACATTGATTGAATCAATTGTTCTTTGTCCAATCCAGCGCGAGGAAAGCACCTGAACCGACGTTTGCTGCACGTGCCAAGTCGATATTCCGGCGTACCGCATGGATGCCATCTGACGTCCCTGTGCCTCTGTAGAAACCATTGCGAAGAAGTTAGCCTTTCCTCAGCCTATGCGTCCTGTAGTCGCTTCAGCTAAAGGTGTTCCAGCAGCTTCTAGGAGACGCAGAGGAGGCGCATCGGCCGGTAGTTGTCGCAGCTGTCGATGGCGATCTCGTTTTTTTGATCGTTCGTACATCTGCCTGTTGCAATTCTTCTGGTATTGCAACAGTCTCCCAACATGTATTGCATGAGTTTGTGAGCCACTTGATGCCTCTGGGTGTCCGCGCCGCTGAGTTCCAGTATTCCGCGGGGGTGCTGTCTGGCCCCGCAGACCTATACCATTTCACATTATTTGATTGTTCTCCCCGCCTTTTGAGACGTGAAGGCAAGTTCTTCCACAGGGAGCGGGGGTCCCAACGGATCTTCTTTTCGTGAAGGTCGGCGGCCTTCCTCGCCACTGCACTGTTGCTAAAGCATTTGTCATCACGTCCGCCTTTGACTGCTCTTCACCAGGTTCATGTCCAATTCCTGCAGCCTGCCCCGCCTGTGACGTTTTGGGTAGCGGTCTTATAATTTGTTGGATTTCTGCACGGACCCCCCCTCACCCCCCCCCCGAGTTGGCAGAATGATGAGAGCGAGCAATGCCTCGCGCGCTGGTTTCCATGGTAGAGGGGTCCTTTCGCACCCAACCCATGTTTGCTTGGGCTTGACCTGAGGCGTGTTTTGGCGATTTCGTGGATTCCGTGGCCCCCTGTCGAACATATTTACCCAGCTTTCGCGCTGAAGACCGCCAGAATCCGCGAAAGACCACGGACAACCGCCGAAAGCCGTCAGAAGACTGCCGAAGACCGCCAGAAGTTAGTCGAAGACCGCCAGTGAGCGTTCTATCTTGCTGCCTCCGGCGTAACGTTTGCTACCCGGGCCAGATTCCGCCCCCCGGGCCAAATTTCCCCCTGGGCGGGGAGGCCCCGACCCCACCCTAATTACATGCTAGGGGGCGGACTGTGCTCACGGGCATGGCGCGGTGCTAAAAGGCATGTTTTGGTGCTCGTAAGCGTGTGGTGGTGCTCGCAGGCTCGCCACCTGTTGCGGCGCCGAGTTCACAGGGACGGCGTGGTGCCGAAATGAATGTTTCGGTGTTCACATCCATGTTCCTGCTGTGACTCCTGCTGTTATTCCTGAAGTTCCTCCTGTTGCTGCTCCTCTTGATCCTTTTTCCGCTCCTCCCCCGGCTCCGTATTCCCCTCCCTGCCGCCAGGACCGTTGAAAGAGGAGAGGAAGAGGACAGGGAAGATGAGGAGCAGGAGGAAGAAGTGGAGGAGGTGGAGGAGGAGACGAATGACGAGTCCTCAAGGCTTCCGTGATCTGTGGCGGGCCCTGCAAGGAGGCTTCGCAAGGTACCAATGTGCTCGTTGGCACGTTTGGCGTTTTGGTGTGCACAAGCGTTGTGGTGTACGGAGGCATGGTGTCGTGCGTAGGCGCTGCGGTACACATGGTCGTTGTTGTGATGTACGGTGGCACTACGGTGTACACAGGCGGCGGTGTGTTGCACTCAGGCATTGGGCATTGTCGAATACGCACGGACTATGGTGCGCACGGGCGAGTGCGTAGCGTTGCGCCGCAAAGGCTGGACGAACAAGAAACGAGGGAAAACGACAACACAACGAAGACGAAAAGCATTGCTTAAGTCGAGCCCCTGGCGCTCGCTGTGCCCCCCCCGCGCAGTGCCCCCTCCTCCTCGCGAGGCTTCTTCGAGAGGTGTGGCGCGGTGTCCGGCGTGTGCCTACTGACCACGCAGAAGGGCAAGTCGCGCGGCATCGCCTTCGTTGTGTTCGCGGACGCTGTGGGGCTGGAGGTTCTTGAGGAGGGCAAGGCACAGCAGGTTCGCGTAGTGTCGACGTGGCGGCGGCCCCGCCGCGGGCGTTCAAGGTTGAACGCCGCCAGTGGCCCAGAATCCAGCTAGATTGAAAGATCCAGCGATCGGAAAGCCGCCGATCCGTAAAGATGAAACGATCCACGCGGTGTTAGAAATGAATGCTGGGGTCGTCACGACACGATCCTGCCATATCGATACCGCTGCCCTGGCCACGTGAGAGGCCATGACTGGACTCGCCTCGAAATCCAGTCAGATCGCACCTCGGGAGAGGTCCAGAGAGTACGGCAGGTTCGTGTGGTGCCGACGCGACAGTGGCCCTGGCCGCGCGTGGCCCAGAGTCGGCCAGCTTTGAACTATCTAGCGAGAAACCAACTCCGACGTCGTAACGGCATGAACCTGCCGTAGCGGTATCAGTACCTTCTGGTCTTCCGAAGGCTTGCCTCAAGCTGGACGGCTCCGAGTACAAGGGGCAGGTGATCAAGGCGCCCCGGGCAGCCCCAGCAGAAGCCAGATCACGGGAGAGAAGGCAGTTTCTGGTGTGTCGCGGGAGGTCGGTCCCTTCTCTTGCTCTCGTGCATCGCAGCAGGGGGGGGAGGAGGAGGAGGAGGAGGAAGAGTTTAGAACGCTACAGCCTAGTTGCTAAAGTCCACCGAACGTGAAAAGGAGGAAGATGATTCCGAAAATTGGGGGAGGGAGGGCATGACGAAGGGTGGAGGAGGAGGTCGAGGAGGAGCAGGAGCAGGAGCAGGGGGAGGAACAGAACAGCGTTTAGCTCTGCTGGAGGCGTTTGTGGTTTGCGTGTGTGATCCGCCGCCGTCACCTCGCTCAAGTCTTTCAGGGAAAGTCAGCGTTTCTCGTCGAAGCGGTGCCCCACTTCGAGTGTCCCCTTCAGACTGCAGTGATAGCCCGTGGCGCGGCCGATCCCTGTCCTGCGGGCATCGGCAGGCCGGCGCTGAACCCGCCATCCCTCAGCTGCTCTTGGCCCGCTGGGGAGCGGTTCCCTACGGCGGCGCCTGTCTCGACCGCCGTTCGAAGAGCTGGGTATTTGGCTTCGTGCACGGTTTCGCGGCTGGGCTCCTGGTTTCCGCTGTCGTCATCTTTGCGAGACTCAGCGCAGGAGGAGGCCGTCAGCGCCTTCTGGGCGCACGAGTGTGCAGGAGGAGACCGCCGTCCACGGCAGACCGACCTCGTGAAGGCGGCGGCGGAGCAGTTGGGCCTCAGCGTCTCGCGGACGCGATGCCGACGGGCGTTGGCTGTTTCTACCTTGTGCGGTTCGACGCGCCTGGGCGTGGGTCCTGGCGCGCACGGGTCGCCATCCAGGCCACGCTCATCATGACGACCGTCGGCGTCGGTTGCCACGAGGACCAGGTGCCCTCCAGGGAAGTCAGGGGCAGCATGCCGCTGATCGAGCAGGGGGCCGCGGTCGACGGGTCTGAGGTGGCGAGCGTCTACTGCTTCGAGCCCCTCCCTAGGGCGGTCCAGGCGTGGGACGCGGTGCACGAGGTGGTGGCAGGCGGTGCGGGGGCGCTCCCGCCCGACGATTTCGCGCTGGAGCTCGGCGAGGGGAGCGTGCTCGGGAGGCCGCCTGGTCCGCGCTGGTTGCGCGACCCGCACGCGGGTCGCCTGCCCGCCGCGGCGCGGTCGCTGGAGGCCGCATCTACGCCTCCGCGGGGGACCGCCGCCGCGCTGCTCCTGCCCTCTGCCCCTGCGGAGGATGCGCTGGCCGCGGCACTCAGGGCTGACGCTCCTCCTGGCGCCCACGCTGGTGGCACGGCCCCACGCCCTGCGGGGGAGCCCCCGTGCGGCGACCCGCGCATCCTGGCGGTGGCTAGGGACTCGCGGGGTCGCCGTGACCGCTCCGTCGGCGACGCGCTCAGCAAGCAGACCGAGTACGAGCGTGACGACTGGTCCGTTCTTGGGCCTCCGGCGAGGCTCGGGTTCCTCCTGTTCAGGCCTCGTATGGCTGGAGGTGCTACGGCGTGGCGCACGCGGGGGCTCACCATCATCGGGCTGGCCGAAGGCGGCGAGGCGATGCTGCATCTCGAGATCATCTGCCGCATCCTGGAGGCGTGGATGGGGGTACGTCCAGCTCGGCATCCCTGAGCTGGCCAGCTTCGAGTTCCTGGCGCGGCAGTTGCAGCTGATCGAGGGGAGAGACTGCGTCGAGAAGACTCAGGAGGCGGCCGTCACGCTCCAGGGGCGAGGCAAGAAGGACGCCACGGCCCAGGGCGCGTTGTCCGCGGAGGTCGGCTTCTCTCTGGGCATCGGGAAGACGAAGGGTAACGCGTGCATCAGCCCCGCTCGGACGCAGTTCATCGCCGAGCAGGTGTGGAACGAGGCGGCGGCATCGGACGAACGACGCAAGGCGTGTGAGGAGCGCGCCTTGCGGACGCCATGGCGCCCCCTGAGGGCGCGAGCTGGGAGGGGCCAGCCCCAGGGCTGCCCAGCTCGCCGAGCCGCTGGCCCCCTGGGCCACCCCCTGGCTTGGGCCCCCCACAGGCCCCGCGCCTTCGCCAGCGGGATGCTCTGCCGCTGCCGCCCCTCGACGTGGACGACCGTCTCCACGCCGTTTCTGGTCGGCGGCCCCGCCAGCGGGCGGCTCGCGGAGCGGCCTGGCGCCGGCGGTGCAACGAGGGCATCGACGCACTCAACTGGCTCCACGATCGTGCTGGCGCGGGCCATCTCGCAGGCGAGGGCGTGGTTCGCTGACCAGGCGCAGCTTGCTGCGGTCGAAGAGCTGCCAGAGCATTACCGACGTTTTGAGTTGCCTCCTGGCTGCAGTGAGCAACACCAGTTTTGCAAAGCATCCCTCGCAGAGGTGCTCTCGACGACCCCAAGCTACCAGAACACCTCGCGGGTCAGACACTACGACAAGGCCCGCGTGGCCTGGCCTGCGCTCTCGGGACCTCCCGTTGAGGTCGGCCCCGTCGCGCGGCAGGCCGATGCCGTCCAGTTGCAGGGTTGGAGGCAGAGTATGCTGAGATCCGCAGGCGAGGTCGAGGAGCTTCAGGAGTCGCCAGGTGTTCATCAGCCCTATGTCGACCCTCTGCTTCGCGATCCCCGGAAGTATGCTGAGTTTTTAAACGCGATGCTGCGGCGCCACATGATCGAGTGGACAGTGGCGCCCCCCCCCCCCCCCCCCCTTCCTACTCTGTTGGGATTTTCTCTGTCGAGAAGAGCGGCGGCGAGCGGAGGCTGGTTTTCGACGCGAGGGTGGCGAGTACCTATTTCAAGTCTCCGCCGAACACCGTGCTGCCCACCCCATCGGCCTGGGCCTGTCTCGAGTCGACCGACGACTTCTACGTGGCCCAGGGGGGCATCCAGTGCGCCTTCTACCACATGGCGGTGCCGCCCGACCTGGGCAACTTCTTCCGCCTGCCCACGATCTCCAACCGCTTCGCGGGCCTGAAGTCCGTCGGCTCCGTGAACGTGGGGCGCCGCGCCCTTCTGCAGCCCGTCGTGCGTGTGATGCCTATGGGTTCGAACTGGGCTCTCTATTTCTGCCAGTCGGCTCTGGTGCGCGGCATGCTCGACGCAGTGATCCAGCCGAACCGCCATCTCGCCGACGGAGCCGCGCCCGCCCCGCTCGTCAGTAAGAGCGACCTGGTGGCAGCTGGGTACGTCGACAACTTTTGCGCGGCGTCCCAGTCAGCCGCCTTAGCGACCGCTGATGCTCGCGAGCTGGCGCAGGCGCTGACCTCTCGAGGCCTGCCCGCGCGCGACTTCACGGAGGCCCAGACGGAGCGTGTCTTCACGGGCATCCAGTTCTCTGGCAAGACAGGGATGTCCCGCGTGAGGCCTGACCGCCTTGCACGTCTTCGGCAGGCCATCTTGGCCCTCCTGAGCCGCGGGTCTGCGTCGCGCGGAGCCCTGGCGTCCATGGTGCGTCACGCCACGTGGGCGATGATCATGCGGAGAGAGTGCCTGTCGATATTCAATGGGGTGTACGGTTCGTTCAAGTTGCGGGTCCCGCTCCGATGAAGCTTTGGCCCTCTGTCCGACAGGGGCTCTCAGCCGCGGCCGCTCTGCTGCCGCTGATGTGGGCGTCTTCGCGCGTGCCTTGGTTAGGTGCGTTTTACGCGTCAGATGCCTCGCCGTGCGGGAAGGGGGCGCGCGCGAAAAAGCTGGACCCCTGCGTCGTCTCGTCCACGGGCCGCGTTGCAGAGAAGTGGAGGTAGCGTGTCTCGGAGGCGATCTCTGCCAGGGCCCATGCGTTCGCAGGTGGAGGAGGCGATGGGGGTGCTCAACATGATGCTGTCGGTTGCTCGTTGCCGCCGGACGTGCTGCTCGGGGATGGGGGCGTTGACTCCGCCTCGGAATTCGTCGAGGTGCCGTCGGTGCTTTACGATCCGGAGGAGTGTGTCATTATTCATTCCAGTCGTCACCGCCGAATGGGTCTCAACACTCTGGAGTATGAGGGGGAGGCGCTCTGCTTTGCTGTTCGGCACGCCGCTCGGACAACGGGTAATCACCGACATCGCATTCTGTTCCTCGTCGACAATTTGGCTCTGGCACGGGCTCACAGCACTTGCGTCATCTCCTACGACGCTTGGCCGCCATCACCACAGGCACCCGCGCAGTCGTTCGATGGATTCCGAGTGAGCGTAACGTAGCGGATGGTCCTTCACGGACGGGCCTCTTCTTGGGGCCGTGGAAGGACTTCGACGTTGAGACTGGCGACCCGACGACCGAGTGCCGCCCGGGCGCCCGACGTCCAGCGTGCACTTCACCACCCAGGGGCGCGGCAGGTGCGGAGGGGAAAGACCTCGTTCCTCGAGTTCCCCGCGGTGACACAGTGGGCCCAGGTCCTCTACCACCCCCACGGCCCCCGCTTCCGCCAGCGGCGCACGTGGACGGGATAGTCGTTCGCGACTGCCGCCGAGCTGGTCGCCCCGCTGCTGGTCTTCTCCGAGGGCCTCCGCTTGGGCGGGTTCGACTCAGCGGCGGGGTTCATGACGACGGCCCCCCTTCGCCAACGGCTGCCGCACCTGCGGGCGGGCCCCCGCGCCCGGGCGCGGGCCTCTCGGGCCCTCATGGGATGGGGCCGCCCAGTGGCACCGCAGGTGCGGCTCCCGCTGCCGAGCACGGCGCTGCTCGCCGTGGTGCGGCCCCTGACGCAGGACAGGAGGGTCGCGAAGCGGTCTTCAGGAGGTGGGCTTTCGGCGCCTACTTCAGGCCCATGGAGGCCTATCGCATGGTGGCGCCCAGCCTGGGGAGGCTACGCGCGGTGTCAGCGGCGACGGGCGGCCCTGGCCAGACGAGGGGGGCCGACATCAGCGTCATCATCGACAACCCGACCTTCGGGGGATTCCTCCAGGGCTTGACGCGCCATCTCGCTCCGAGGGATCCGCTGTGGATCCTCACGCCCTCCGTGGTCCGCCTGGTCTTCCGCGAGGCGCGGGTCAGGCCGCCGGTGGCGCTGGGCAGCGCGGTGGACGGGCACGAGGCGGAGCTCGTCTCGACAAGGGTGACTGCGGTAGCGGGCTCGTTGGCGCCTCTGCCAGCCGACCAGCCGACAGCGAAGTTGCCCAAGCGGGTTCACGCCCCGCAGCCGAGCCGCATTTGGCGCTTCGGCTGAGCAGGCTCTTCTCTCGCGCTATCCTCCACAGCCGCGCTCTGCCGCGCTTCGTCTTTCTGGTGCGAGGCGCACGCTTGAAGCCTATCGATAAGGCGCGTCGCCATCAGGGCGTGGGCAGGGTTGTTCTGGACCCGAGTCGGTGCCATACCGACGACCTGGCTGCGCCTGGGGTCTCCCTCGTCGTCCGCGGCTGGATTCGCGGCTCCTGCGTCGCGGGGGCGCGGTTTCGGCCTGGGCCCCCCTCCTGGTCCGTGCGCGCCAGGCCCCCCGCCAGGTCGGCGGCTCGGCCCCTCGGGCTCCCTCGCCTTGCCCCCTGTGTGCAGGCTCAGGTCAATACTGCTAATGATGGTACCCTGCACTTGTTGCGTGCGCTTCTTGTGCGTGCGCAGTGCAAAGTGCCGATGATCCTCGAGCACCCTGCCAGCAGTGCGCTGTAGCACCTCCCCTTTGTGCTACGACTGCTCCAGTCGGCCCCGTCGGAGGCAACTTTCGACGCCTGTATGCACGAAGGCCGCGTGCACCGAACGTGGCTCATCGTCGGCTGGCATGTGAACAGTTTGCACCATCTTTCCTCTCATTGCTCGTGTGCGCGCGCTAGATGTGACAGATCTCGAAAGTTTCATCTCGGGTCTCTTGGGCTCCCTCACTTGGGCGCGGCCCAGAGGGCCCAAGCTCGCAGGACCCCGAGGGCCGTCGCAGTTGAAGGTATGCACGCCGTGCTGGATAGTGCACGTCGTTCAGCCGCAGTCGCCAGGATCTGTAAAGCTTTCAAGTCGGCATGATGTCCGTTTTGTTTTTGTGGCGGCCTCGAGGGTCATTTGTACCGTTTTGTACCCAGCATGCTGTGGCCTCGGAGCGCCCTCGGCCCCTCGCACAAAAAGTAGCGTCTGGCCTGAACCCGCCCCCCGCATTCAGCTCTGCAGGAGGCGTTTGTGGCTTGCGTGTGTGATCCGCCGCCGCTCTCCCTCCCCCCTCTCCCGTCTCTCGCTCTTCTGTCCCGTTTTGTGCCCGGCATGCTGTGGCCTCGGAGCGCCCTCGGTCCCTCGCGCAAAAAGTAGCGTCTGGCCTGAACCCGCCCCCCACAGCAATATCATACATAGCAGAAGGAGCATGAGTGGGAGCAGGGGCAGGGGCAGGACGCGGACAGACATCAACGACCTGCCCTTGTCATTGTATTGTATCTTCTTGGCCGAATCCTCCGTATGTGCACAGGCCAAGACGGCGGCGATGAAATGTTTTGCGCATCAGTCCTGAGTGACCACAGCCAGGCTCAGGAGTTCCGAGGCCTCACAGCGCTGCTCCAGTAGGTCACCCCGAACTCGGCCCCAAGGCTCGATCGATCGATCGTCCTCTTCCTCATCGTCCTCCTCGTTCTCCTCCTCACCTGAATGCACCTCCCTCCGCCCTCCCCCTCTCTCTCTCTCTCTCCTTCTCCTTTTCTGTATGTATTCTCTCTCTCTCTTTTTCCCCCCTCTCTCTCTCTCTTTTTTTTTTTCTCTCTTTCTCTCTCTCTCTCTCTCTCTCTCTCTCTCTCCATTCATTTCCTAATTCTTGGGCTCGCGCTACACCGCCGACCACTTGGGGAATTCGCGGTTGTTGCGTGTTGCTTCTGAGGGCCTCTTGTTCGCCTGCAGGGGGTTTCCTGGAGCTCTGTTGGGGTTCATAAAGGGGGGTTTTTCGGGGCCTCTTGGGCTGACATTCTCAGTGTTCGCCGTGCCCGCATTGGGAATGGGGCGAGAACCCGTGCACACAGACGGAGGGCATTTGTCAAAACACCCGACGAATGATTACCGAATGGCATCCGGATTGATTGCGTGGATGCGGCTTCAGATTCAGATTGCGTGGCTGCGTTTCGTCATCATCGTGATCATCGTGACGCCGACCAACAGCACCTGATCATATACTCCCAGATCCAATTTTTCCGAGACGGTGATCACGCCAACGATTATGTTTGTTTTCGCTTTGTGCGATGACACGGGCGCGGATGTGTTCATTAAACGAACTGCAGCGGCGAATGCTTCGAACCATCGTTGGTTGGACCCGTCTCGTGGACGAGCCGTGGGGGGACACAATGCGAAGGATGCGACTGAAATCCGATTCTGTCTTAACGAAATATCCGATGGAAGACTGGAGCGCTCAGTTGCAGCGCGGGCAGGTCACATTCGCTTTTCGAGTGGGCAGTCTGATTGGTAGCTGGCTTGCAATGTTATCCCGTTGGTATTCCCTACTAGGTTTCCTGGAGCTGGACGTGGACGCGTGCGACCCGCAGTGTGATGGGACGACTATTTGCGAATATTGTCGAACGCTGATTTCGGAACAGAGTGGCTAGAAGCGACACTGACCAATGATTCTGCAACGCGCAAAGACGACGTCTTGCAATTTTCAATCGGGCACCAACAGTGATGCTCGATGTCTCACACAGTCGCGCACGATCCCGGGCCCAGCTTTGATTCCATTGCTTGCTCGCGTGGTTCGGCACATCCTGCTACCGTGCCCGGGTTGCGGGTCTGATGCCACTCGGATAGCTGGTGAGGTTTCACGAGGGGCGGTTCGGAGGCGTCTTGGAGACAGTTGTTCCCGACCTGCATGCGTTGGGTATTTTTTCAATAGGACATTGCCCGCGTGTCTTCTCCTTCTCCCGCCCCCTCTCCTCTCCTTTTCTCTCCTGCCCCTCACCTCGCGCCGTCCTGCGTGCCAGCTTGCCTCCTACGGCCATCCCTGGGGGTTTGCGATCTGCGAGGCTGTAGCGACTTTCGAGGGCTGCTGGGGGGCCCAGCGGATTTACCCAGACTCGAATGAAACCTCGCCGTTTCTGTGGGGCTGTGGTATGCGAAACGATTGCCACTTTCGAGGGCTGCTCGGTGGTCCAGCGGAGTGATGTCGTCACCCAGACCTCCAGGAGGCCTCGCCATCCTTGTGGGCTGCGATTTGCGAAACTGTCGCCACTTTCGAGGGATGTTGAGGGATGCAGCGGAGTGACGTCTTACGCGGGCACCAGGGGGCCTCGCAGTCCTCGTGAGGCTGCGATTTGCGAAGCCGTCGTGACTTTCGAGGGGTGCTGGGGGGTCCAGTGTCGCGACGTCTTACCCAGACCGAGCGTGGACCTCGCCATGCCGGCGGGGGGGGGCTGCGATCTGCGAAGCTGCAGCCACTTTCGACGGCGGCTGGGTGGCCCAGCGGAATGACGTTTTACGCGGATCACCAGGAGACGTCGCCATCCATATGGGGCTGCGATCTGCGAAATTGCAGCCATTTTCGAGGGCTGTGGGGGGCACGAAAGACTGACATGTTACGCGGACCACCAGGAGACTCGCAGTTTTTGTGGGGCTGCGATCTGCGCAGCTGTCGCCACTGTCGAGGGTTGCTAGCGGGTTCAGCGGAGTGGCGT